ATGTCAAATTTGGAAATTTCTTTCTTTTCCTTTTATGTCAAATTTGGAAATTTCTTTCTTTTCCTTTTATGTCAAATTTGGAAATTTCTTTCTTTTCCTTTTATGTCAAATTTTATGTCAAATTTGGAAATTTCGTCAAATTTGAAATTTCTTTTTTTTTTTGTCAAATTTGAAATTTCTTTCTTTTCCTTTTATGTCAAATTTGGAAATTTCTTTTCTTTTCCTTTTATGTCAAATTTGGAAATTTCTTTCTTTTCCTTTATATCAAATTTGGAAATTTCTTTCTTTTCCTTTTATGTCAAATTTGAAATTTGGAAATTTCTTTCTTTTCCTTTTTCCTTTCAAATGTCAAATTTGGAAATTTCTTTCTTTTCCTTTTATGTCAAATTTGAAATTTCTTTCTTTTCCTTTTATGTCAAATTTGGAAATTTCTTTCTTTTTCCTTTTATGTCAAATTTGGAAATTTCTTTCTTTTCTTTTATGTCAAATTTGAAATTTCTTTCTTTTCCTTTTATGTCAAATTTGAAATTTCTTTTCTTTTCTTTTTTTCCTTTTTTTTATGTGGCAAATTGGAAATTTCTTTCTTTTCCTTTTATGTCAAATTTGGAAATTTCTTTCTTTTTATTCAAATTTGAAATTTCTTTCTTTTCCTTTTATGTCAAATTTTTCAAAAAAAATTGTTTTAAAATGTCAAAAATTTCTTTCTTTTCCTTTTATTTCAAATTTAACTAGAATGTTTTCCTTTTTTTTTTTTTTTTTTTTTTTTAAATTGTTTATAATTTCTTTCTTTTCCTTTTTTATGTCAAATTTGGAAATTTCTTTCTTTCATTGGAATTTCTTTCTTTTCATGTCCACTTTCTGATGAGATGTCTGAATTTGGAAATTTCTTTCTTTTCCTTTTATGTCAAATTTGAAATTTCTTTCTTTTCCATCGAAATTTCTTTTCTTTTTGGCAAATTTGGAAATTTCTTTCTTTTCCTTTCAAACAAATTGAAATTTTTAATGTTTTAAAATATTAAATGTTTCAAATGTTTTTTTTTTTTTTTTTTTTTTAAATAATTATTATCACCACCTGATTTTGTATTGAGCAAAAATTGAATTTTTTAATGGTAACTTAAATGTTCAAATAATATTATGAATACTTTTTAAGCTCTCTTTTATTGAATGTTTTCATTCTCTTTACATTTGGAGAGATACAATTTCACTCCAAGAAAGACAGTAAAGCCACTAAGATACAAGGGGTTACTGAGTGTAAAAGAATATGAAAAAAAGAGAAACATTATTAATAAAAGAGATCAATAGAAGAGCAACAAAGAAACCAGGAGAAAACAATTGACATTTCATTTAAATTTTTGATGATTAATATTGACTGGAAGCATTGCAGCTGGAACAAAAGTGAGATAAAAGAAACAGTGTAGAACTTGCAGCTGTAAAAGGATGTGATATATTTATAAAGTCTAGGTACCAAAGACAAAATACCCACCAAACATTTTAAAGCGTCTTTGTTTTTTTTTTCCTAATAAAACACTGTATCTTTGTTTTGGAGGTGTTAAAATTCACACAATATAAAAAGGAGCAGGTTTTTTTTTTTTTTTTTATCATTTCACCCCAAGCTGCATGGAAATAATGCCATTAGGATGCAGGGGTTTATTTTAAAACTTTAGTGGGGAGGTACGAAGAAAAGACAAAGGAACAGGGTTCAAGAAGACAGAATGGTACATTTTAAATTTTTTTTGAAGGTTGTAGGTGGCAGGGAAGCAAAAAATCTGTGGGGAGTTCCACAGGTGAGAAGTATGAGAAAAGAAACAGGCTGTTGCATCTAGCTAATTCAACAGCAAAAAAACAGTGAGACCAAGTTGCTAATCTAGTAGCACACTTAAATTCATGTAGTCAAGGTACTAGGGGCAAAGAGACTTCTTTCTATGTGCCATGTCCTTTCAGGACGTAGGCGACCATGGCTCTCCACTTCACTCTATCCCTTGCAGCTCTCAACAAGTTCCTTCCCTCTGCTACCTCCCCTAGACCACGTTGTTGTTAGACATTTTGACGGTCATCTTCGAGTATAGAATCCAGAGGTTAGCAGTGAATATTTCGGAGACAGTAGGAAAGCATAGTTCAGATTAGCAGTGGATATCGCAGCAAAGTAGCAGAGCGTAGTACTTCTTTCTGTCATCTTCACCTGACAAGTTGGCACTGGTCATTCGGGTAGGGTAAACAAAAATGGCCGCCTTTATACACGACAGATAGAATGTTCTGCGGCTTCTGATTGGTTAACCTCCTATTGGTAGACTATAAAGTGAGTCAAGGCATTTGGACCAACTCACTAGTCATATATATACATACATATATACAAAAAACTGTAACAGTTGTGTCATTCACTTGCTTAAGACTGCTAGTTATGTCATGCGTTGTTTTCCCTTGTCTCTCTTTCCCTCTATTCGACCCATGAGTGTCAAATTCTCCAGGCCCTCCTTCCTCATTATGTGTCCCAGGAACTTCAGCTGCCTCTTCCTGATGTTAAGTATGCGCCTCTTCCTTGTTTGTATTCTCTCTAAGATCTCATCGTTGCTCACACACTCAGTCCGTGATATCCTTAGCATCCTTCTGTAGAACCACATCTCCACATCACCTCGAGTTTCTTCTTTATCTTTGAGGAAATTGTCCAACATTTGCTGCTGTAAAGGAGAACAGATGTCATGTAGATGTCCGTATTCTTTCCTTCATTATCAAAGAAATCCTCCTGTCTTGCAATACTCTGCCCAGCTTTTGGAACGTGTCCTTGGCCATCCCAATACATCTACGGATCTTAGTGTCGCATGTATAATATTCTTCCTTACAAAAGTTTCATACCCAGGAATTATTGCAAACAATCCCAAGGGAATTTCTGATGATTGCTGAGTATGTGAAATCTTGATTAACATCTAATGGTAATGAATGATAGATATGTTATATAGTGGCCCACATCTGTGTGTCTAAATTTAAAAAAGATTTTTTTCTTTTCTTTTATGACTGAATCTTCACAATTATAACAAATTCATTAATATTTTAGATTCCACAATCAACCTGATAAACAGGAAAATCGGGCAACAGAAAAAAAAAATGGCATTTTTTTCTCTCTCTTCGTTAAAGAAAATTCAGAGTGTTTTATTTATTTTATTCAATGTCATGGAAATCAGGAAATTTTCTGGCACAACCTGACAAACATCAAACATATTTATTATATGCTCCTTTTTTTTTTTTGTTTTTTTTTTTTTTTTTTTCTTACTAAAAATGGTTTGAAAATAAATACTAATGTTATTTATGCAATATGTTTTGCAGAATGAGTAAAATTTTGGAATAACTTATTTTGAAATTTACTGAGTTTTATAAGCACATACATTCATAATATTAGTTTCTATGGATATGGGGAAATCCAATCATTTTAACAAGGGGTGGTAGGGTACTATTTTTCATTGGCAAATACTGTATCAAAAATTATGAGTTACTTTCAAAAAGGGGTTAAGTCAAGGTAGAGTAGGGGTGCCTTTTTAAATGAATGATGGTGTTGAGGATGTGCAGAATTTATTAATTGAGAGAATCAGAAGGAATTTGTGTAGGTTGCGTGACTTTCTGCATCCACAAACAAATAAATAAACGAATTTTAAATACGATCAAAAACAAGACATATTCAATTTAGAAACCAATAAAACATTTATATACAATTCAAAGTAATATACATACAAGATATTTGGTATATGTTACTATGGCAAAGTGTGTGTGATATTTTAGGTTTTGGTATGTCTCTCTTAGTATTCGTTTGTTCATTTACAGTCTTTCTAGATTTGTGTTGATATTAAAAATGTCAATATTAAGTGTTTTTTTTTTTTTTTTGGAAGGAGTTCTTATGGAGTGATCTACCTTTGACTGTAATATTTCTAAATCATTCGTACGTTGATTTTTACTTAATAGGTAGTGAATATAATTCACTTTGGATTAGCAAGGTTTGTGATTCGATGTCCACAGAGTTGGTTGAGTTTAAATTGCAAGTGAGTCAGCGTTGATGTACTCTTGCGTGGTAAAATCGTGATTTCGAGTGACGTGGAGTATGTTGGCAATTTCTCTGTGGATGTTCGTCTCTGACTGCTTTAGTCAGTTGGCGTTTACTTTTGTTTTGAAAGTCCAAAATTGGCTCAAAGAAGTTTTGGCGCAATTTTGTTTTGCACGTGAAACTTTCAGATTATTGTGTTGTTAACCAATGAGATTTGTTGATTCGCCTAGTACGGTTTTTATTGGTTGAAGTTTTCCGTACATAGGCGTAAGATATAGACTGTTCTGTTACTAGGGGTGATAGGTAGGAAAAGGACGAGTCTACAATGGCATCTGTTCAACGCACATCGTCTGGTCTTTTTCAACAGCAAAAAGTTTTTTGACACTTTTGCTTCCCCGTTAAATTTGTACTTGTATACATAAAGATTTTTTTTAAAGGGTTGTTTGTATATGAATACATCATATTGAACTACAATTTGAAAATATTCTTAATTTTAATTACTAAAAGTTCTTTTAGGATAAATACCATAATCAGACGTCCTTATCAAACTATTTCTGGCACTGAAAAGAAACCAATAAAACATCTGTGAAATGGAAATTAATAAGAAAAGCTAGAATATGTAGGTCATTAAATGACCCATGTCCTTTGTGCATACATGAGAAACTATATATTACTAGGTTTATAAAAAATAAAAATTTACTTAATCAAAGAAATGAAATAGCTATTCTTTGCTGACATTGTTAAAAAATTTCCTTAAGTAATGTTTAAAACAAAAAACTGATAAATGAAATATACATATTTATATTTGATATTTAAATAATAATTTTTAAATAATTAAAGTAATCCTATTACATTTATTTGTTTTAAAAGATGTATAGTCTATTAGCAATTAAAATGAATAATATTTTAAAATTGTAGTTCAATATGATGTATTCATATACAAACAACCCTTTTAGGAAAAATCTTTGTATACAAGTACAAATTTAATGGCGAAACAAACTTGCTGAAAATCTTTTTGCCACTGAAAAAGACCAGATGACATGTGTTGAACGGATACCATCAACACGGATACCATCATTCGTTTGAAAAGGCACCCCTACTCTACCTTGACTTAACCTCTTTTTGAAAGTAACTCATAATTTTTGATACAATAGTTTTCAGTGAAAAAGAATACCTTACTACCCCTTGTTAAAATGACTGGATTTCCCCACATCCATAGAAACTGATATTATCAATGTATGTGCATATAAAACTCAGTAAATTTCAAAATAAGTTATTCCAAAATTTGCTTGAAAATGAAACAGAACTAGGGACTTTAATTTAATCCTATAAGTGAATTTGAAATTTGTAGCTTCTGTTTTTGAAACATGGTAATTCCTGTGTAGCAATGGAACCATATTTTTAAATAAGTAAATTTATATTTATGCTCTGTAGATTTACATTGAACACTGTTTTATAAAAATATTAATAACACCAGATTATACATTTTACTGTTCTTTCTCTTTATTATAATATTTATAATATATATAATCTCATCATCATCACAACCATCAAATGACTTTCATAATTAAACTAATGAATTGATTGTTTTTAAACAATTTCTTAGTAATTTCTTCCTCAGTACTTCAACTGCCCTTTCGTTCTTTTATTTTCCACTTTCATGGATGCCATGTTCTTTGGAAGCTTGTTTAGACCAAGTTAATGG